AGTATATTAATTTCGTATTTTTTTTATATAAATTATGCTACAAATTACTTTTAAGCAACGAAGAATCCAATATAATTATTTATATATAGAGAAGTCCATTTAAGTAATAGGGTCGAGACTCACGAATTTGTCCAAACCAGACAAGAAATGAAAGAACAAACGAAAATAGATTAATATGTTGTAATAAGTTTTTTGAAGTTATATATATATATATATTTGTTAGGAAATATTATTGGATTTATTAATATGTTTTATATTTTTAATTATATTAAAAAATGGGAATAATTAATTCATTTATTTTTGTAATAAAATATTAAGAAATTTTTTTCACAATCCCAGTAAATTCTCTATCTGAAATTCATTAGTGAAAATAAATAAATGGATCATTATCGGTCTCGGGGACGTTAAAAATATGAACTTTTAGACACAAAAATGAAAGTTTATTATTGTATTAGACCCAACCCGTAACGTTGAAGTATTANAAAAAAAAAAAAAAAAATCACCAAAGGTTAAACTTTTGATAGAAGCTTACAATAAGGTGTTAGAGAATCTTGTAGCTTTTAAGCAACCTTTGGTGGAAGTAATTCTGTAATTCAAATTCTCTGCGTGTTCTTCTCCACTTTCTTCTTTCTCTTTATTACCAATGTTTAAAACACATCCGCCATTGACGACCACGAATGAAGCTTTGATCGATCCATATGGGAAGGAGAAAAGCTATGGCGGTAACACATGAGGATCTTCACCCAAGTCGAAGGAGCTCTGAATTAGGCAGCAAAATGGGGACTTTTCTCATCATTTTAACCGTCCTTTGTGGCCTTTGTTGCTTCATTCTTTGCCTCGTTGCCGAGTCCACTCGTTCTCAGGTACGTATCTCACCGACCCTTTTGACGATTTTTGTGTTCGGTATGATCTTGTCAATAGAAATGTCTATTTAACCCTCGAGGCTGAAGAATAGGGTAAAAGAGTAAGAAGAGATTTCTCTTCGTTAGCTAAATTGAGCTAGAGATGAGAATATATTCTTTGTCTATAACAGCCAAAGTCCACTGTTACTAGATATTGTCCTCTTTGGACTTTCCCTTTCGAGCTTCCCCTCAAGGTATACCACTAGCTAATTTATGTCCCACATCGGTTGGAGGGGAGAATGCAACACCCTAAGGTGAAAATCTCTTCCTAGCAGACGCGTTTTAAAGAAGCCTTGAGGGGAAGTTCAAGAGGGAAAATCCAAAAAGGACAATATTCGTTAACATGAGCTTGAGCTGTTACATTGTCCCTGTCATTGCACACCGAGCCCACCTCGTCCCTACCTCACATATATGTATATCATTGGATTTATTAGAATGTTTTAGGTATATTAAAAAAATTAAAATTCTAATATTGCGAGAATAAAAATGAAATAGGTGACCGAATGGAGCATGTTTTTTTAACAACCTAGGAGGAGCTAGGTTTAGATATGGGTTTGCATGTTTTTTCTGACCTTTTTCATAGGTGATATGGATGGGTAGAGACGAGAATAATAACAAGAAGGGAGAGAAGAGATGCTGGTACAGCGGCAGTGGGAAGACGCCGCTGGTGTGCACGGCGAGCGCGTTTCTTGGCATGGCGGTGATGATGGTGGTGCAACATTTGTACGTGTTGATTGCAGTGAGTAAGTCGCCGCCGCCTGCTCTCATTGCTTGGGACCCTTCTTTTGCCACTTCCAAATCTCTAACCTTTCAAGCTGCTTTCTTCTTCGTTTCAACATGGTAATCATCTACACCTCCATTATTTCTCTCCTTTATTCAAACCCAAGTTAAGCATATTCCTTCACCCCAACTTAATACTTTTCATATTCGAGCATATTACACAACCTAAGCCCACCAATAACAAATATTGTTCTTTTTAGATTTTCCCTTTCAGGGTTCTCCTCAAAGTTTTTAAAACACGTCTCTAGTGAGAGGTTTTCACACCCTTATAAAGAATGTTCCGTTCTTCCCTCAATCAATGTGGGATCTCACAAAAGTCCAAAAATGACAATATTTGCTCGTGATGAGCTTGGTGTTACAAATGGTATCAGAGGCAGACACCGAGCGATATGCCAGCAAAGATGCTGGGCCTCGAAGGAATTGGATTGAAGGAGTCCCAGATCGATTGGAGAAGGGAACGAGTGCCTGAAAAAACGGTGGGTCACGACAAAGAGTGGATTATGATATTCTTTATAAGGGTGTGAAACCTATTCCTATCCTACAGGTTTTTAAAATTTTGAGGGAAAGCCCGAAATAAAAAACCTAAAAAAGATAACATTTGCTAAGAGTGGACTTGCCTAGTTGAAACATTCGTTTGATGGCACTCTCATTTTCATATGGGGTGGTTTGTTTTTGGTTGGCAGGATAAGTTTCTCAGTGGGAGAAATTTTACTGTTGATTGGATTGAGCGTAGAATCAGGTCATCTCAAGGACTGGTGGAGTCCAAAAGAGAGTTGCTTGGTGATCAAAGAAGGTTTGTTCTCAGCAGCAGGAGTTTTTGAGCTGGCGACGGTGTTCCTCGCCGCCGGTCTATACATGACGGCGGTACGAGCACAGAGATTGTTTGAAGATCAAGTAAACGTGAGAAGAGAGGTGCTGGAAAGTTACCATATCCACAGTTCGCCGCCCCGGTCACCACCGCTGCAGCCGATGCCGCCAATTGCGAGAGAGGACCCTGTGATCAGACATAGCCATCATCCAGAGTCTCCCTTTTTGTTCCTGCTCCCATCTTCAGCTGCTTTCTGCAAACAGCTCTCTCGTTGATTATTATTATTATTTTTTTAAAGGAGATGGTCTTATGAATTTGTATAAAATAGGTTAAATTCTATTTTGATTCGGTTAGTTGTTAACTTTTGTTTATATATATTAATAAGCAATAATTTAACGTCAAATTTCAAGAAATTTTTGGTAGTGTTGATTAAAATTGTGATATGAGATAAGGTGTGAGATCTCACACCGGTAGGAGAACGAGCTATTCTTTACAAGTGTATAGAAACCTTTCCGTGGCAAATTCATTTAAAAAACCCTGAAGGGAAGCTCGAATAGAGCAATATCTGTTAGTAGTGGACTTGGGCCATTGCAAATGATATCAGAGCCAGACATCGGGCGATGTGCCAGCGAGGAAGTTGTTCCCCGAAGGGAGTAGACACGAAGTGGTGTGCCAGTAAGGATGATGGGCCTTGGAGGAGGTAGACAAGAGGTGGTGTGCCAGTAAGAACGCTGGTCCCCAAAAGAGATGAATTTGATAGGGGTCCCACATCAATTGGAGAAAGAAACGAGTGCCAATGAGGATGTTGGGCCCTGAAGGGGGGTTCCTTGAATTAAGTAGACACAAGGCGGTGTGCTAGTAAGGACACTGGTCCTCGAAGAAAGTGGATTTGGTAGGGGTCCCACATTGATTGGAGAAATGAATGAAGAGGATGCTGGGGCTTGAAGGAGGGTTCCCTGAACGAAGTAGACACGAGGCGGTGTACCAGTAAGGACACTGGTCCCCAAAGGGAGGTGGAATTGGTAGGGGTCTCACATTGATTGGAGAAAGTAACGAGTGTAAGCGAGGATGCTGGATCTTGAAGGGGAGTTCCCTGAACGAAGTAGGCACAAGGCAGTGTCCCAGTAAGGACACTGGTTCCCGAAGGAGGTGGATTTGGTAGGGGTCCCACATTGATTGAAGAAAGAAACGAGTGCGAGCGAGGACGTTGGGCCCTAAAGGGGGGTTCCCCGAAGGAAGTAGACACAAGGCATGTTCCAATAAGGACGCTGGGCCTCAAAAGGGGTGGATTTAGTAGGTGTCCCACATCGAATGGAGAAAGGAACGAGTGTCAGCGAGGACGTTAGAAAGTGATACCACACTCAATCTTCTGTATTCTTAAATGACGGCGAGACGTGTAAAAGAGATAACGCTATCAACCTTATAATCCCTTAATTAAGATTGGGAGGAAGGATAACATAATCTATTCTTATCGAGATTGTGTGTAGCAACTTGATCATATCATTATCCAACTAATTATCCCACAAAAAAAAAAACAAATAAATTGAGTGTTCTTTCAATCACATCTTTTCCTAAGCTCGTGTTCATTTCGAGACCCTAAAAAACACAATTTAAAAATTAAAAAAATGTTAAATTTAAAGTTGCCGCCAAATTCAAACGCCAAGAGATAGGCGGGCGTTGACCAATCAGACATCCAACGGCTCAGATGCAAAGCATTGACCATTAAGTCAACATCATGTCTGGTCTTTATTTTAGCCTATATTAATTAATCAAAAGTACATGTTTTATTTACCAACATTTTGAGTGCTTTTTTCTTCCTTTTAACTTAGCTTCTAAATAAATATTTATCCAAAATCATTTGATTTTTTTAATTAAAAAATAAATTATAAATATTATAAATATTTATTTTATTGAGTATTTTTTTTGTTTGTTAACTTACCACTCAAATGAAATTTAATCAGAATAGTTTAAAATCACGTTGATGATGTGAGCAACTCGAATAAAGTTTCAAGTTATAGGGTTGGATCATTCTTTTTTTAATTATTTAAAATAATCTTAATTATCCACTACGGACGACTAAAATTTCATAAAGTTCAAATATCAAACATTTATAAGTCACAATGCATTACTATCATAGTTACAATCGTTAAATATTCTTAATCTTTTCAATATTATGGTAGATTAGGATTGTAATCCTATTTTCGAGTTAATCGGGTTGACCTCAAAAAAAAATATCAACTCATGAACTAAATTCAATTTTTTTTTATTATTTTAACAATATTAAACCAAACCCAAAAAGGAAAAAACTTAAAATTTTCAGTTACTCAATAAAAAAAAAAAAGAAAAAAAAAAAGTCCAAGGGAACGACCAAAGGGAGTGGCGCCCTTTTTGTTCATTTGGGGGTACTTTTTGGCGGGGGAAGAAGCGTTTTTCAGGCAAGGGTATTTTCGGCATTAAAAAAAACAGCAGAGAGAGTAGCTAGGGTTTCTTCCGCCCCCGCGCTCTCTCTTTTGGTTGTATATATTTAAGATTGGATTTTCAGATCCCGCTTGCGGCCACTGCATTTGTGTCGGTTTGATTCCTATTTCATCCTCTCATCCCTTCCTCTCTAATTCTTTCCCTCTGCATTTTCCTTTCAATACTTCGCCTTCCCTCCGATCTCTGCCATTTTTTTCACTCTACTCTGATCTCTTTCTCCCCTTTCGTTTCCGCCATTGATTTTCCTTTCTGGGTTTGATCTGTTTCTCAGATCCCCCTTCTCGATCTCGCTTCCCCTGTTTCCTCTGTCTCTGATCGACTCTTTGCGAGATACCCATCGTTTGATTCTCTGATCTCTAATCGTTTCACTCACTACCCACTTCGAGTTTCGTGTTTTTGAAATCTGGGTTTTTCTTAGATCTCTCCAATACCAACGGATGATGATGGATCCAAGCGATAGAGTGAGTATTCGCCTCTGTTTTTGAGATTTTCCTTCCTTTTTCACTTCAGTTTCTGATCGGTGGTTACTAATGTTGTAGGTATCGGAATCGGAGGACATATCCAGCAAAAACTCCGGCGGGGTATCATCGGAGGAGAGTCAAGTGAACGAGCAGAACAAGAAGACCTGTGCTGACTGCGGCACTTCAAAAACCCCCTTATGGAGAGGCGGCCCAGCTGGTCCAAAGGTGATTTCATTGATCGATCTCAACTCTAATGGAGTTCATAAGCTATATCTCTCGATCCTTGTCTCAGATTTTTGTTTTTTCTGTCTGATTTCGAACAGTCTCTCTGCAATGCGTGTGGGATTAGAAGTAGGAAGAAGAGGAGAGCGATTTTGGGGTTAAGCAAAGGAGTTGTTGAGGATAAGAAGAACAAAAGGAGCAATAGTTGCAACAATATTAGCAATAGTAAGCTAAGAGATAGCTTGAAACAGAGGCTCATGGCTTTGGGGAGAGAGGTTTTGATGCAGAGATATAGCGTTGAGAGGCAGAGGAAGAAGCTGGGAGAGGAAGAACAAGCTGCTGTGTTGTTAATGGCGCTCTCATATGGGTCTGTTTTCGCTTGAAAACAGCCATTAACGAAGATCAGAAAGAGCAATAAAGAAGAAACCAAAATCTAACCTAGAAGAAGAAGTATATTGAGTGAAATTCTGTTAGTTCTTTATTATTCCTATAGATCTCTCTATCTTTTTTGTTGTATTAACTAACCATTGTTTTTTGGATGTTGGAGAGTATTATGAGTAATGTAGTGTTGTGGTGAAGAGTTTGATAATGAATTTTGTTGAGCATTGTCATTGCTGATTCTTGTCTCTTGATGATCATTGATATTAATGATGATGATGAAGAATAAAACTCTGTTTGAATTTGTTAATTGGAGATTTTTGTTCTTATTTATGGGGTATTTTTATATGATAGGTTGGATCTTGAATGCAATCCAAACAAAAAGTAACATGGAAAAAGGGTTCCGGTAAAAGAACCGAGTTAATGAAAAAAAGATGCGATGGAATGGAATAGTTTGTTTTCCTCGCCAACTCATGCGGGATCTTATAATCTAGCCCCTTGGAGGTCTCGTTTCCCTCACCAACACTAACGTGTGATCTCACAATCTACCCCTTTGGAAGCCCAACGTTCACACTATCTAGTATCTGACTGTAATATCATTTGTAGCAAACTCAAACTCGTTTCCCTCACCAACTAATGTGGGATCTCACAATCCACCCCTTTGGAGGCCCAACGTTCACACTATCTAGTATCTGACTCTAATATCATTTGTAGCAAACTCAAACTCGTTTCCCTCACCAACTAATGTGGGATCTTACAATCCACCCCTTGGAGGCCCAACGTTCACACTATCTAGTATCTGCCTTTAATATCATTTGTAACAAACTCAAACCTATTGCTAGTGATATTGTATGCTTTAGTTTCATTCCTCTCAATAACCAATGTGAGATCTCACAATCTACCCCATTGGGAGCTTGTTAGAGTTCAAACTCACCGTCAGCAGATATTGTCTGCTTTAGCTCGTTACTTAAAGACGTCAGCCTCACGATTTTTAGAATGCATATGATAGAGAGAGTTCTCTATGTCTTTATAAGAAACACCTCGTTCCCCCCTCCAACCAACGTGGGATCTCACAAGAAATCGAGTGGATTCTAATATTATTAAATGGTTGAAATAATGAGTGAAATGGAATTTTAAAGAGGATATAAATGTTGTGTCATTCTAGTATTATGGGTGATTGTTTTTTTTAAAAAAATTATACATATGTATAAATTTTATTTTTTCCATTAAACTTAATTACTTATTTACTTTAATTTTTAATTTATAGGGTAATTTTGGAATTGCCTTCTGAGTATTAACATATATATAAATTTTATTTCTCAAAATAGTTAATATGTTTTACTATAAATAAATTTTTGTTAAAAATATAGCATTAGAAACATTTTATTTATTTATTTTAAATTTGACGTATTTTACAAGATGAAGAAAATATTGTAAACAATGAAAATAAAAATTAATAGCAAAAAACAGAAATTTATAAAATAAATAAACAATTTTGAGAAAAAGAAAATAGTTAATAAATAAAATAATTGTTATCCGGAGATGCATGGGGTGGAGAAGAAGGAAATGGATTTTCTGCATCCAATCATTTTTCTCCAAATAAATTTATCATTTGGATAACTGTCCTTTTCATTATTTCTATATTTTTATATTAAATATAATTTTTTTAAAAAAAAGTAACTTCCATTTACCACGGTGAAAAAAGTCATGGGTCATTTAAAAGAACNTTTTTTTTTTTTTTTTTTTTTAGTCTAAGGGTATTACTCAAAGTCATTAAGCTGCCTTATAGACCTAGAAGACTGCTGTGGTAACTCGGGAATGGAGCTGGTTAGGGTTGTGTGACTTGATAGTTTAGTTGGATTACCCTGCACGACAGATTTGTCCTAAAGGGGGGCGTGGATCACACGAGTAGTAATTAGTTCCACAGTACTTTTAAATGGAAATCCATTGGAGACTACATACGAGGTAGACTTGCTAAATTTTATATCTATCCAGTAACTCCTCTATACATTTTGCCGATTGGTCCATTGCTTTCATTGTAACTTCTTGCCACTCATTTAATTTAATCCCACTTTTTTTTTGTGCTATCGAGTCCTGTAAGCAACAAATAATACGTAAGTGCAAAAAAGAGTTAGGTAGTGTCAAAAATGATAATAAAGGCGTTATGAAATGCATCTTTCTATTCATACAGCAAACAACAACTTAGATGAACTAGCTAAATCAACTCTATGTTTGTTCTTAATCGTTTAGTACCGACTCATCGATGAGTTACTAACCAATAATCTAAATTGGTACACTTATCGAGTTTAAGAGTATAAATTAGCTCCCTCCCTCGGACGTGCCAATTTAGGGCTCTAAAATTATTCAAATAAAAGGAGCTTCATTTTGAAAAAAAGATTCCAAAAGATTTAAACCTTTTGTTTTCCAAATTTAAAAAAAAAATG